ACATAAATAAAACCTTAAAATCAATGGCATTATATTTGGATGAAGCACAGTTCTTGGTGCCTGCACCATTTTCAGAGTCTAATTTCCAGAAGAGTGGTCTCTATATCTATGTCCTCTAGCTTTTGGCTGCTCAATGAGCTTGCCTTTACCTTGTCTCTCGTCTATTTGGTTTTCTTGTCATGTTCTGTTCAGACAATTCCATTGTTGTATTTTCTGTCATCTGACATGGAAGATCTCGCTTTCAGGAATTTTGACTTCTTGCTTTAGACTTTCTCTTTTGGGCCGATGACCACCATATTCAGTTGACAGCTTTTAATGACTTGAGAGTTTTCACTTTGTTGGTGGATCAATTAACTTGCTTAAGACTAGATCCTTCCCATAGTGTGGTTTCAACATCTCCTGGTTTTTCATTAGATTTACTACTACTTTGGGAGTCTTCTCATTGCACCCTTTACTATTCCCCCAAACAACTAGCATCTACTCTAATGGTTTCCATTCTCAGACTTTACAGCTGTGGTAGTGGATGCTCTGAGTCAAGATTGATCAAATATCATTCTATATGCTTATCTTTCTTTTCAACTGCTTTCCAGTTTTACTGTCAGCATCCATTCTCTCTTCCTTCTCCAGTTCTTATGGATTTCTTCCAAGCCTTTTTCATCAGTCATCCTCATTGTCTCACCTGGACTGGAACTTCTGTTTAGTTCTCAGGGATCTTGTATGTCACCTCATTCAAATCATTCGCCACCTGTTCCCTGTACCATTTTTGTCTTAAGACAAAATTTCTTCTCTTCCTTGCTTACAGGAGATGCTGCTCTTACATTTGTTTCTTGGATGCCACTCACAATCTGTACCACTAAGATAGGTTAACTTTTTCAACCCAGGCTTGGTCTCTGGGACCGACCTCATAACAATTTTGTGCTTGTTATAGTTTTCATGCTATAACTTTTAAATTAGTAAGCAAATGTTAACAAAATTTGGCAGTTTATCAGTAAACATTACAATGCTTTCATATGCAAAATATCTATTTTTTTTAAACAAGTTTTAAAGTTTGTAAAGCAATGTTTCTCTCGTGCCTTTTTCTTATTTTCACATCTTGCCTATCTAACACGCAAAGTAATTTTAAGATTAAAAATACTTTTATGCATCAGAAAATTTTGAAATTTCACATGTGAAAT